TAGTTCATAGGTCGCCGGTTCGATCCTGCATAGGCGCAGGTGACCTGGTAGCATCCGTAGACTTGCAACTCCGTTGGCTCCTTATTAAATGTGTTGTCCGATTCACATTTGTTCGATGTGACTGATAGCCCAACCAGCTAGTAGCCTAGGATCACTTTTGCATCACTTCGACTCCTTTTGCCATCCCCAGCAGCGCAGCTCTGCCCACACTTGGTACATGGCACGTACTCTCTTAATGGGGGTTCGGAAACCTGCTGAAATCGTCAATATCGGTCCAACAGATCCACACCTTGGGCATGCGGATAGTTTTGGGCCTACACTTACTGCTTTTAGTCTAGCGGTTTCATACACTGAAATGTGAACTTACACTTAACGGATGAGAAACGCATTCTTTACCTTTCTTCAACACGCACCTCTCCCTTTTCGCACCCAGTAGATTTCCAGAACAGCCCTGATACCGCTTCTGATACTTTGTTTCCGAGTCGATCTCACCGATCACATCAGGTACTTAGGATCCGTGTTTACACCTAAGGTCTAGCCAGATAAACACCAAATCCTCTACTGGCTTTTTCACAGCCACGTGCTCCGTGTACCGGGTCGGCTGCGTCGGCTTGTGTTGTTCAAAAACGATCGAAGACCCGAAGTTTGCAGTCAATGACATCGCAGGTGTATGACGAAATTCACTCGGGTTGGTACTTGTCGCTTTCCGGAGTGGGACCCACGGGACAAGTGGCACAAGTGGTTTTCTGCTCTATCTTATATGAAACACTCACTAGTTCACCGGTGCTCCTGTGTTCGTTTCCGTATTTCCGACCTTTAACTGTCCTATCTGTCGTTTTTATTTCTTGCGCATTACTGTTGTCACTGTTCGTTTGGCTACCCGTATGTCAAAGCAACCGCGTTTTCCGCGCTTCGGTTCACAGATCGTAGTCAATAAGCTGAGATGCACTGGATGACTGTCGAATTTTCTCGCCAGATGATCTGCCATCCACCGGGCTTCTATTTTGCGCCCCATTGATCACAAACTGCCGGTTCTTTTAATTCTGTACCTTCTGGCCATGCTCTTTACAAACATCCCTGAAACGTCTTAACTTACTCTGCAAACTGTTTGTGATCGCAGTGACGTGCCGTCCTGCTCGTATCCCCTTTGAACCATTATATAGGTTACTTTTCTGTCCCTGCGTGTATTTCAGGCATCGTTGGGCGATCCGAAACACAATACTACCTCCCATTGTTCTTTGTTGAACAAGTCAGGTACCCAGCCACTCTTGATACCGCATGTGTTGATCGTCTGTCTGTTGCAAGCGCTCCAGTCATTGTCCACGGAGTTTCCAGCTTTCCAGACGGTGAGCTTTATCTTCTACGCCTCCTATTCCGCATTTAATGCTCTAGCACATATGAATGAGTAAACGCCGATTGAGCATGGTAGACTGTGTCTCCATGGCGACGTGACTTTACTGCTCCGGTTTTCACCAATCTTTCCACTAGGGTTCTTAACTGTTTGATAGATCGTACGCAACGGTGCTTCCACGGATGCGTAGCGTGTTCCTCTTTTCTTTTAGCACTCTCTTTAAGCGTATGCTGATACCAGCACCCTTTCTCGTTGGTTATACCGAGTTTTCAAGTTCGTTGATATGTAACAAAACGAGGTCTACCGCTGTATATTGTTCGTGCCATGAGTACCCTCACATTTTTACTGGTTATTCGCGCCCCCTCTCCTGGTCACTAACGCTTCCAGTCATAAGCAGATGGAGGCAGTGAGATACTCCAGCTCACATTCTCGGACAGATCTTCTGCTTTGATAGTGATGCTATACCGGGTCTTCTCGGATATTTAGCCACACAGATGCTGGGGCACTTATGGTCCCTCCTAATAGGCATGGTGCTTTCACGTTTTCTAGGTGCTTCCATTCTTGTTGCATCGTCAATATTTGACACCCCGTATTCATACTCTGCTGTGTTTCAAAAGACAACAAAACCATCTGCTGGACTATGACACGGTATAGCGACATGAGCCCATGAAATTCCAAATTGCACCATAAGGTCTACCGATGTATTACGTGACAGTGGTCACGTCTACTTATCCCCCTTATTTAATCACTCAGCATGTCACGCAGACGTTTTTGGTTGAGGACTCAATGGCATCCGCGTTTGTCAGTTCTTCCATCTTTGTGGTGGGCGGGATCATCTTTTTGTGCCGTGTCTATAATCTACTTGATGGCCATCCAACCCCCACTATATAGGCTTGCCTTCACACAATCCCCTGCTGCTGGCATCAACAGCAGACCACGTCCACTCAACTTACCCTTTAGTCTCCCGTAACTGCGGTGCTCACTCGTCCATGTGTAGCACTGTCACTTGATGATGTTTTGTGGTCCGCTTAATTGTCTTTTAATCACTGAATCCAACTTCCAGCTGGTCTCGGTTTTTGTGGAACACTCCATCAACGGCTTCGCACATCACTCACCGATAATGCGCTCTCGATCCGAAACCACTCAATGAATGTCAGTGAAGTTGCCGCAATCGACGAATTGTTTGACTTTGGAGTTGCTTGATCGCTCAACTATTGCGATCCTCCGTGACAGACATCTTAAGCTGTGTTTGTGGCCTTTTTGCTCCAAACGATCTCATCGATGTATGAGATGGTCCAGAGGATATTAGGAAACCTGATGTGTTTTTAACTTGTCAAGAAGTTCCATGGTGTGCTTTACGGAGCCACATCAATACAAACCTCGAGTTACTAGAAAGTGTTTTTAGTTCATAGGTATTTTGTCTGGAAATTTGTCACAGTTGTGCTCATTCACGATCACTGCACTTTCAGAGAAGTGTTGGGCGATCGTTTCTTTCTTTTTTGGCCTCATCAACTTTGGATGACCGCGAAATTACTCTCTCTTGAGCCACAACCTTTTGGCCAAGTACGTGGGTTTCTAGACAGTGTAGCTGCATCACGCCTCTTGATCCCATTAAAAACTGTCAACCTGTTTTGCTAGGATAATGACCTTAAGGTATGCGTAACTTGTGAAATGGCTAGTTTAAAGTCTTGCACACACTGTAACGCTAATACCTGATGTTAGGCTGTTTGTTCTATTTGATTGATCTGCTGACGGTGGTTAAACATTTCCTCCTTTAACTGTGTGCTAACCGAAATGGGGTTTGCTTACAGATTTCCCATCGCAGAACGCATAACCTGCTTTTGCTTTTAATCCTGGGTGCAATTAACCAGTTTCACATTGCGGCAAAGCGAACAGCGAATTTGCTTCTTCCGTAATTGACATTAGCTTACTTTCTCGGTGGCAACAATTTTACTTGCTTTTCTTCATATACTATTACTTCGTGCGCCGGTAGTTGATTCGTTTGTATATTATCTGCTTATGCCCATATCCTGTTGTTTTCTCTCCTCACGGACACTCCCTTCTCTACCATAGATTAGGATACTCCTTGTGCTGTACTTTCGGATAGCCCTATCGACGGTTTTTAATAATTACTAGCCACCTGCGGTAAACCTTCCTACCATAACCACTTAAATGATCAATGGTTGCTTCCACCGTCAATCTTCTATTTTTGCGCACGTTTACATCAGCTTTCCTTTCTGCATAATCTTTTCGCAGATGCACAACAATTTGTCACAAAATATGACGAAGTACTTTGAGTGCCTCAACACTTCTTGTCTGAAATTGGCCACCTAATGACTGTATATTTTTGTATATTTCTATGTTTAAACTGTGCTGTTACTGTAGCAAATATATATATATGAGATTTGCTACCAGATTCTTCACTTACATCTAGCAGATGACCTCGGTCTAATGAATCAGCATGCGCGTCGCTTTTTTGCTCCAGTTTGGTCCATCACACCTGCGGGCTCAGATGCGCCATAACTTGCTTATCTCCGTGTCCTCAAAGAATTAAATTCTACTTTTCCCTTGATCCGACAGAGGATGCATCGAAAACATTTGTATGCTTTGACAGGTGCCTTGAACACAGTCATATAAACGGCTCACTGTGGTTGTCTTCCTTGACCACATTCGCATCGGGTCCTCTCCGATGCTGTTGACTGCTTTTTCATGAATAGTGCATTGAAGAAGATTCTTCCTGTTCCATTTTCATTGCACTCTGCGGCCCCAGAAATCATCTTAGAGTGTACAGAATTCGTCGTGGCCACTTTTAACCTACATTCTTCGATCCAGTTAATAGCGTTTAACTCTATCCTGCCTACGTTTTTATGATGCGGATTCCACTTATAATTTGTTCTCGATCCTACTCAAGTGCCACTGACTTGATTGGTCAATCTCACTTCGGCATGCGCATCACGCTCGTTAAGCTCATGAAACTGTTTCAACACTAAGCTGACACGATACCGCTACTTATCACTGCCATTGAGCAGTCACTTAAATAATGGGTGTTTGTCACCTCTGTAGTCAACTGACCAAATCAAGTACTGTGCGCATCAGTAAGTTTCGTGTGGTTTTCTAGGCCTAAGGCATCTGAATGGGTTAAAGTGCCAGTGCGTCACTCAAGAGCAGGGTGTCTCATTAAGGTCTTGTGGCGATGAACTATCACAGCTGGACTCTAACCGCAAGTACGTATTTCAATTCGTAGCGAATAAGCAAGAAGACGCGTCAGTCTGGCGCACAGTGTACTGAACACTTAACGGTTTACATGTGAACACGGAACGTTAGGGTGTGTCCTTGAGTGCGTGTGTGCGTGCTTATCTATGTGTGTGTGTAGGGCCAATCAGGTTCACGGTCATAGTGAGCGATCATTGGTTGAACACGTAACATGAACTACTTCCCTATCCGCCATACTCACCAGACCTTGCATCATCTAAATTTCGCCTATTTCCAGAGATAAAATTATTTCTGAAAGGAACATGTTCCTCACGATGCGATTCTACTATCCGAGGTCGGGTAATAGCTTTTGACGCAACAGTCGTATTCCTTTTCGATCCATTTTTCTCTCTTATGTGTTGTGGCATTCAGCCAATTGTAATGTTATTAGTAAAGGATATATATGTGCCCCATGCTGAGGCTGATGTAACATTCATGATGCTTCTTCACCGCAGTTGGTCTAAACCAACTTACACTTAAACTAGGTCATCTTAATCTGGACAAAATGCATTCCACTTTATTTGGTTTGTTCTGCCTACCTGAATAATCTTCTATTAACTGGCCACGTTGCTTACGCTAATTGCGCTTATCTTCGGTAACTTTGTTGCGTTTGTACCATTCTTAGTAACTTGTGGACATTTACTTATCGCGGTTTCGGTGGTAACCAATTTACTTCATATGATAATTTAGCGAAGAGTTATGCCACCGTATCCGTATGCATTATTAGATTTATTTTATTTCAGCTTGTCGTTTCAAGTGAATGGCTGTTGCTTGATATCCCCGGTGTGGCTGCGCTTGATGTGTATATTGACAAGGTGCGTACCTGTCTATTACCCACTACCTCGTTCATACTGGCTCCAGGAGACAGTTGGTCGTTGCTGGAGGGGATGGGGTACAGGGTCCTTGTGGCCGTGCTAGGCTCAAAGAGCGGTTCTATGCACTTAGTTTGGAGCGGACTACGGTCCAGCCACCGCCTTGTGTGCGTTTGATTCCCCAAATACAGCGTGGTTGTGTTTGTCTGTGAAGGAGTATGGGCCGGCTCCGTTGATGAAACGTGGCTCCCACCCACATGCCTCCCGGTCTTATTCCTTCGGGTTTACACTGGATAGGAGGTGTGTGGGTGGTGCGACGCAAGCCACCCATGGTCCTTCTGTAGGGGCAGGCGTCCTGTGACTGGTCACAGTGAGAGGCAAATCCGAAACCGGATGCCGCCAACCATATATATATATATATATATATATATATATATATATATATATATATATATATATATATATATATATATAGTCAGATACCGTCCTCCATGGCGCAGTTGCATAAGCTGCGGGCTCGTTGGCAAGAGCCACTAGCAGTCATGGGTTCGATCCTCGAAAGAGGACCGAAGAATGTGCACCACTGACAAGCCCCAATAGGGCAAAACGGCCGGCTGGTGCTCTTCCGGACAGCTGGTCGACATATCTGAATTGTCGGTTGATTGCGACGAACAAAAGTAGTCCAGAAGTAAATCCTAGCCCGAGTTGACGCTTACCCCACACTATCAGTGTTTTGTAAACGTTTGTGTCCGATGAGAGTTACCGAAAAGAATTCTTCACCCAGAACTGATTTCTGATATTGATTCATATTAATGGAATGGGAATCTTTGCTTTGCTGAAGACCAGCATTACCCGTGATTCATTGATTTGATTATGTCTTATGTTATGTGCATGTCTTTTTCCCTCATGCACGTTGTTCAGAGTGAAGTGCAAAATGTTGTACTGGGGTCATATTCTACGTTCACGAATGTCCCATCGATCTGAACCAGCGCAGTCTGACCAGAAGACGGAAATGGGACTTTCGTGGATGGGTCATTCTTTCAAACCCGCTGACGCGCAATCCGACTTTATCGATCGTTTAAAATACGTTCGTAAGTGATATAGAAGCAAATGTTGTAGCTCATGTTCTTCAGTTGCTGGTCTGCGTGTTCGCTGAGTTCGGCAGTTTGGCTGCAAACGTTTCGTCACCACCCGAGGTGACTTCGTCACTGCGCGTTTACGTAGCAGAGAGGCGCGGTACTAAGCGTCAGTGAGTGTGAGTGGTCGATCTTTTAACCGTCAGTCCGAGTTTGGATCGTTCGACGGGCACATAACCATTGAAATCGATATCTGTTTCTACTCTTGTAGCGTACGTGTGTGTACCTATTCGGTTGTCCTCGTCGTTTGACGCATTTGTCCGGCGTTCTGTTCCGGTAGATTTAGTCCACTAATTCGGTGATCTTTCATCCGTAGTGCTGCATATATAACATCTATTTCAACGCGTCAGTTTATTATATTGTCTGTAGAATAGCATGCTCCAAAAAACTCGATACCGAAGAGGTACGCTACGAGGTCAGAACCAGAGATCGATTTCGATGGTCATGTGCCCGTCGAACGATCCAAACTCGGACTGACGGCTAGAAGATCGATCACTCACACTCACTGATGCTTAGTACCGGGCTACATAAACGTGCACTGACGAAGTCACCTCGGGTGGTGACGAAACGATTGCAGCCAAACTGCTGATCTCAGCGAACACTCACCACCAACATTCGGAAGTCCCAGTTCGTAGTGGACTCAGGGATGAAATAAAATAAACGCTAGTATCATGATAGGTAACAACCGGTTATAAGACGATTTCAAGTAAAAGTAAATAAAGCGTAAATATCTGGCAAAAAATAATCCAAACATGTAAACATTAGTTTGCAAAAAATACCTAAAATTTAGCAAGCGTTATTGTAACTTTCCTGGTAGTTGTTTTGTGACGTCTAAAAAGGTGGACTAATGCCGAAAGCCTTACCCTGTGAGATAACACTTCAGAATGAAACAAAGATTCTAATAGCACCAGACTCTGGCGCTGAGTACAATGAGAGCGAAAGGTACGTCGTTTGGTAGATGACAACATTTCAGTGCGACACAGCTATAATGGGAAAAGCTACCTACTGTACATTTAGTCATATTGTCGCGGAGAACTCTTGCTGACTGCCGGGTGTTTCTTTCAATCTCTAATTCGTCGACATATCTCGCTTAACAATACAAGCTCAAGCATATGCACTTGTTTCTAAGTGAAGAACTTCGCCTGTATTTCATTGATCTCCATATTGTGGACTCTTGCAGGGCCATAGTCAGCGCTCTGCACTCATTCAGGGCACTTTGAGATGATCAGTAAAGCGATATAACAGCTATATGTTTTCTATAACTTCAGCGGAAATCAGACAAAATGACATCAAATTCATCGCCCATATAAACCAATCCTGATCACAGCTCCGTTGTATTTGACGTCCTCGTCGGGAAGTTCAGAGGAGAGGCGCCTTTTCATTAAACGAATCCGTGCGACCGGTGGCATTGCCCTCGAGAATGGTGCCTTTTGCGTTACGTGATAAGTTCTCGGACGAATTGCAGCGTTTGATCAATTTAGGCATTAAAGTTGATGAACTGACAGATTGGGTTAGTCAGGTTGCGAGAGTCACGAAAAAGTCGGGTGAATTACGTGTATGCATCGATCCCAAACCGCTAAACACCGCGCTCAGAAGAGAGTATTACACACTACCGACGTTAGATGATATTTTACCAGTGCTAACAAAGGCCAAATTGTTTACGAAAGTTGATTTAGCTTCGGCTATTTGACTACATTTGGAACGTCTTTTGGTCGCTACCGATGGTTGCACTTACCATTTGGTTTGCAGGTGTCCAGTGAGATTTACCAAAAACGTTTGATGCAAGCACTAGATCATCTCCCCGGTACACTATGTGTGGCGGACGACCTGCTGATTTTCGGTGCCACGAGAGAGGAGCATGACCGCAATCTACGCAGATATTTGCAGCGTTGTGCAGGTAGGAGCATTAAACTTAAACATGATAAGTTCGAATTACGCAAAATGGAGGTAGTTTTCTATGGACACATATTGAGTGCAGATGGACTGAAGCCAGATCCGGAAAAAAATTAGGGTCACAAACGAGATGAGGCATCCGACTGATGTGAAAAGTTTAAGCAGGCTGAACGAGGTGGTGAACAACCTAACTCGTTTTTACCCCGACTAGCTGATGTGATGATTTCCATCAGGAAACTGACACACAAGGGCGAAAGTTGGCAGTAGAACGCAGAGCAAG